CTCCCAAAGACGCGGGATTACAGGCTGAGCCACCGAGCCCGGCTCAAATAAGATTTTTTTAAAAATCTTTTTTGTGTCAGACTGGAGTACAGTGGCACGATCATAGCTCACCACAGCCTCCAACTCCTGGGCTCAAGTAGTTCTTCTGTTAGCCTCCCAAGTAACCAGGGCTACAGGAATGAGCCACCATGCTCAGCTAATTTTTAAATTTTTTATATTTTTTGTTGAGACAGGGTCTCTCTATACTGCCTAGCCTGGTCTCCAACTCCTAGCCTCAAGGGGTCCTCCCACCTCCGTCTCTGCCTCCCAAAGTGCTAGGATCCCAGGTGTGAGCCACCATGCCCAGCCCAAATAAGATAAAATATATGAAGATTTTGGCCAAGTGTGGTGGCTCACGCCCATAATCCCAGTGCCTTGGGAGGCAGAGGTAGAAGTGAGAGGATCACTTGAGTTCAGGAGTTTGAGACCAGCCTGGGCAACAGAGCAAGAGCCCATCTCTACAAAAGCTTTTAAAAATATTAGCTGGGTGTGGTGGCAAGTACCTGTAGTCTCAGTTACTCAGAGGCTGAGGCAGGAGGATAGCTTGAGCCCAGGAGTTTGAGGCTGCAGTGAGCTATGATTGCACCGCTGCACTCCAGCCTGGGCAACACAGTGAGGCCCTATCTCAAAACAGAAAAAGAAAAAAAATGTTGCAGAAGCCTCCTGTAAAGGAATGCATTTGACCTTGGCAATAACAAGGGGAGGGCTGGGAGCCCAGCAGGAATATTTGCCCTGGAGACCCTTGAATGGATTTTAGCTTCTTGACATCCGTCTCCAAACTGGCAGCATGTCATGAGGTTAAGTGGCAGGTGGCCTTGAGGATTATGCCTGGACAGGGGACCATTCTCTCGTTTGATGACTGCTGCTGGAGCCTGCCTACTTTCTGGACCTGCCTTGTGGGATTAGAGGAAGGATGGCAGCTGAAATGCCCAAGTTCCTATCCCCCAAGAGGTCCCAGCCCTCCTGTCTCTGTAGGAAGGCTCCAGGATCTCCTAGAACCTTCCTTGTCTCCTTCCCCGTTCATTCCGGGAGCCATCCATGAGCATCTGTGGCCGTCTGGATGAAGGATGGAGCACTGCAGGCTGCAGGGAATTTACCAGCCAGCATGCCCGTCCTTTGGCTCCCTCGCCCGCCTGCACTCTCCTCCCCTCCCCTGCTCCCGGGCATGGACTCCAGTGACTCCGGTGAGGATGCTGCCTCAGGGCAGATGTGGCCCAGCTGGGCAAGGAGGGCTGGAGGAACGCAACAGAAATGCCCCAGAAAGAAAAACCCTGTGCATGAGCCTCCTTCCCCTCTTCTCTCCTCCCGCCCCTTCCTGCTACTCTCCTACCTCACCCCTGCACACAGCCTGGCATCTGGCATCCCATGTGCTGCCCACTGTGTGATTTATGACTCCTCAGGACACAGAGGCATCTCCAAGGTTGCAGTGCAGGGAGGAGCCTGGAGCCTTGCGGGGGGGTGGGTGGGGGGTTGTAGGAGACAGAAGGCCTTCACGTTCCTTCTCAGTCTTCCTCCTGGCTCCTTGGACAATGACTAAGGGGTAGGCTCAACAGAGCCCCGCCCTTCAAACCCAGGTGCACAGTGCTGTGTCGCCTGTCAGGTTTCACCTTTAAATTAGAACCCGAGTGATGTTTCCAATTAGAGACGACCGGCCTTCCTGCATTGTCTCTCTGCCACCTTCTTCCTGGAAGTGAGATGAGGCTGAGCAGTGAGGTTGATTGAGGACAAGTCAGGGAATATCCCTGGGCTCAGAAGCACATTGTGGCTGCCACTTTGAACCTTGAGTGTCTTCCTGACCCATTGTACCCAGGCCCCAAGGTTAAATCCTGGGACTAGCAGGTGTTCCTCAGACCCTGCTGCTCCCGGCCCACTCTGCTTGGCTGCTAGGAACTTGGCAGAGAGTGCTCCTTCCTGACTTTTCTAGAAAGGCCCCTTGAGCCTCCTTGAGGGATGCTTGGACTCTCTCTCGGGTCCCTTCCCCCACCTGTGCCAGGATGGTGCTGATTGCAGGTGCCCAGTCGCCTAGAGGGGCATTGTGTCCTGAGGGTAAGTGATTTCCTCAGGCAGCAGGGCCTCACCCTGGTGGGTGGGGCTGGCAGCTCTCGGTAGCCTGTTTAGTCGACAGATTCGGAGCAGCCGCTGGGTACCAAGACATCCGTTGTTCCTGGTCCCAACGTCCCTCCCTGCTACCTGCAAGAACAAAGATGTTGTCATCAATAGTAGGTTTTCTGAATGATTTTCTTCTCAGATTTCAAAACATAAAATGGAGTTTTATTTAGAGACCATATATTGGGGAAAATATGCTATTCATGGAAATACCTATAATCATCAGCAATTGTTTTAGTGTATTGTCAGAGGAAAAAATAATTGGACCAGTAGCTTTCTCTTGGCGGTCAGCCATTGTGAGACTATCCCCTCCACTCAGGTAGCCACTGCGTAGATAAACTTGCTGGCTACCTGTGCAGATGAATTGGCAAGAATTGCCAGCATACCACCTGTGCTGTGTGACCCAGGGAGGTTTTCCCCACCCAGCACATAGCACCTTCCATTGTCCCCTCATTCCTCTTGTTTGTTTGGTCTTTCTGAGTTGGGGTCTCACCCTGTCACCCAGGCTGGAGGGCAGTGACACAATCACGGCTCACTGCAGACTTGAACTCCAGGGCTCAGGAGATCCTTCTACCTCGGTCTCC